AAAAAAGATAAGGATTTAACCAATTACGCAAACTTTAGACCAATTGCCCTTATCTCTGTGTTTATCAAATGCATTAACATCTGCATAAAAAACAGACTATCCAACTTTCTTGAAGAACAAGAATTGTATCCTAAACTTTCCTTTGCATATAGAAGGAGGAAGTCGGCTACGACATGTATCAACTATTTGCTACATGATGCGGCGGTGCTTATAACTGTGTTAATGTTCGTAAACTCAAAGAGATCATATCTCTGGCAGGTATACATAGCACATATATTGAATGGATTATAAACTTCCTTTCTTTCAGAAAATTGCAGCTTGGTAAAGAATCAAATGAAATTCATGATGGCCTTCCTCAGGGTAGCAGCTTATCTCCTTGCCTCTTTAACCTCTATATTAGGGAACTCCATTCAATTCATAATTCCAACACCAGATAATACCAATTTGCCGACGACTTTCTCATCATGTCCTATCATGAAAGTGCTGATCTTGCTAGAGCGAATCTCACCCAAAAAATTAATGAATTCTCCGTCATGTGTAATAGCCTAAATCTCTCATTCAATGTTGATAAAACTAAAGTCATGTATCTATGCAGGAACCAACAAACTACAGTTGATATTCAATGGCAAAATCTAGCCATTCAACAAGTACATTGTATCAAATTTCTTAGCAGGCATATCAGTGGGTCGTTATCAGTCCAGGAGCACTATAAAGAAACTATTAAAAATTCTCATAGGAACTCCAACCTGTTCAAATGTATTACTACTGTCAAGGCCGACCTACATCCTCAAGTTGCCCTAAATTTCTACAAAGCAGTTGTACGTAGCAAAATTGAGTACTGCAGGACTTGCACTTCTAACTGCCCCAAAACAATTAACAAAAAGATTCAGACATACCAAAATAGTTTCCTCAGAAGAAGTCTTGGGCTGGCCCCTTCAACTCCTATCCCTCTTACCTATGCTTTAGCAAACGAACTGCCACCGGCTGATAAAGCCAAATGGCTCACAGCAAAAGAATTGGTCAATAATTTGCTATCGGACGAATCGTTTAAGGCAACAATTTACAGTTCTCCAAATGTCAACTCTAGCTATAGCGTAATTTTCAATGAATTTAATGATATTTTTGACGACCTGACCATAGTGAAAAGAATGAAACGCTTATATGTAGCGTGCAACTAGAATTGATTT